GCCTTGCATGGAGGCCCTAAGAGGCCATTGCAAGAAGCTGTGGAAATGAATCCTGAGTTGAGATGTTGAAGATGTCAGAGCCATGGGATTTCTACCGAGGATTGCTGCACACAGAGATTGGAACTAGCTCAGAAAGAGGTAGGCAGCAAAGTCTACAAGGCTAACCCATCTGAGCCCTCTAACATCAACTGTGGAGCTATAGGTTTTGGGGTTTGCCCTGCTGGGTTTCAGTCTTACTTTGTCTGGTGTTAGCTTGCTGTAGCTGGATTCCTCCCTTTTGGAATGGAAATGTATACTCTCTGCCATTGTATGTTGGAAGTATGTAATTTGTTTTTTGATTTTATAGGGGGCTTACAACGAAGAGACTGCCGAGTCTCAGAAGAGACTCTTGAAGTTGAACTAAACACATTTTGCTTTATGATACGACCATGAGCCTATGGAACATGGGAATGAAATGTGATTTGAAAGAGAATGCCTTGTGCAGGCAGGTTCAGTCGTTTTAATTCTAGGTCTCAAGTTGTTTGACATTGTGGAGGGAGGCTTAGGAGGTGTGGCCTTGCTGGAGGAAGTATTTCACTTGGGGTGGACTTTGAGGATTCACAGCCTCTCGCCATTCAATTTGCTTTCTGCAAATGTCTTAAGCATGCCTGCTGCCATGTTCCCTGCTATGATAGTGGTGAGTCAAATAGATTCCTCCGTAAGTTACCTTGGCTACAGTGTTTAACACAGCAATAGAAAAGTAATACAAAAGATAAGTTCAAAGTTAAAACCAAAAATCATAAAAGTATTTTCATGATCTTGGAATTGATTGCTAGATCTAGTATATTTTTGGGCAGTGGTGAAAGCAGATTAGAAGAGGCTTTGCCAGCAAGGTACTGGAATACTTGGTAAAGTTTCTGAGTCCTAATTAAACCCGGCTTGCGCTGACTACTGTCACAGCTGCCACTCATCCTGCAGAGCTTCTTGTTTTACATTAAGTACTCAGAAAGGAGAATTTGAAGATGAATCATTTTAGCGTGCTTTTGCTGACACCATAATGAAAAACCTTACCACATTCTTTGTACTTCATCTAAATCTTGGTGCTGCAGATTCATCTCATTCTGTTCAGAATTGCCTGCCAAAGTACATTAACAGTCAAAGGAAGTAGTCTCCTGCTCTCTGGGAAAGTCTTCCTTCACTGTCTACTTTGAAGCTCCTGGGAGCTTCATTACTTTGGAGCTGTGACTCTTGCTGGGTAGAGAACGTAGGGTGAGACTTTAGGTTTGAGACAGTCCCTGGTGATTGCTTATTGGCACACTGCTTCTTGCAAGGGGAAGCAATGTATTCTTTCACAGTAGCTTAAGGTTGGAGTTGTCTTTTTGTTTCTTGATTTTGGGGTTTTTTTTTTTTTTTTCTTTTCCAAAACAAAGTTTCTCTGTGTAGTCCTAGCTGTGCTGGAGCTCACTTTGTAGATCAGCCTGTCCTTGAACTCACCAAGATCCTCCTGCCTCTGCCTTCTGAGAGCTGGAATTAAAGGCACGCACCAACACTGCCTGTCATTTTGTATTTTTTTCTTTTGTTTTTATTTAAGGTTATCTTGGCTTATCTCTTACTATGAAGCCAAGAATAGCAAGCTTCTGTTCGTTTTGCCTATACCTTTTTAGTGGTGGGATTACAGGTCATCCAGCTTGATAATGAATTTTCTAAATGAAACTTTAAGCATCTCTGCATAGTATCTGATCCCAAGGCAGGAACTTTATATGTTATATAAAGTGCCACTCTGCCTTGAAGAAGCACTATGCAGATGGGAGACATAATGGGCTCCTGCTGCTTCTTTCAGACCTCTGGACCTGTTTTTACGATTCGTGTGTGTGTGTGTGTGTGTGTGTGTGTGTGTGTGTGTGTGTGTATTTTAAAGTAGGGAAAGATGGTGAAATGCAAGGAGCAAAGTGGAGCTGGTGTGACCTCTTGAGCCTCGAGAGTACCCAGTAGTCATTGTGGGGTAAGGCAAGTGTGGAGTTGGTTCTGTTCAAGTGTTAGTGTCCCTGAGTTACTCATCATCTGTGTGATTTCTTGAAGGCAGGAGGGAGCAGGTTGCAAAGCTCCAGTAGAAGGAAGTGTTAAGTTTTCTTAATAACAATGGGTAGGGGACCAGGATTCAGTTCCAGTTACCTAGAAGTAAAATGTGGTTAGCTTCAGCAGCTGTGGCTAGTAGTACGAGTTGGCACACTATGCTGGTCCATGGTACCCTACAGGTGTAGTTTTCGGCCTGTAAGTCTAGAGGAGAGGAGGCCTCCTTCGCCTTGGGCATGTGGGCTGTGGAGGAAGAAGGGAAGGGAGTCACAAGAGCTCACCAGCTGCGGTCATCATTCTAAAACCTGGGGCAGAGCTGAGCTTGGACCTTCTGCTGTGTAATCCACTCCTTGGCTGCACTGTGTGCTACAAACCAGTGTAGTAAAGTGAAGGGTCAGGCCTGATGGCAGCTTTGAATAGGGAAGTGCTAAGAAGCAGGTTGTTTCCGGGGAAGAGTTCATTAAAGAGGAAATCAAATGGAGATAAATCTTAGTTACTTAAGACATTCTAATTGTTAAATAAAAGCTTTGCTGGGACAGAAGGAACATGATGAAAGAAGAAACACATTAGAAACACTAACATTTGTGTGACTGGTAGACAGCAAAATCAGAGGAATTGCAGTCAATGACATAGGAAGCCAGCTAGAGAGAAGACCGTGTGGTCGGGGAGCAGGTGTTGTCTCAGCACAGCCTTGTACTGGATCACTGGGAGAACTTAGAGTGGCTCTGGTCTGAAGAGTGAAGAAGCCTGACGTAAAATATTCTGTACCACGGTGGTCAGATTACAAGAAAACAAGGTCAGCCAAACCTTTGGGTCACATGGATGGACTGTATATAAAGATGCCACCTACGTTAGAAGTCCTTATTTGTAGCTAAACTTAGCAAGCAAGTGTCTTTTCCCAAGACTTGTTACTATGTCACAAATCCAGGTGTATTTACAAAAAGTAAATGACCTAACAGAGACATTTTAAAAAGAGGAATGATTTGGGTTGCTCAACATTTTAGGGGTGGCAGTCCATTATGTTGGGAGGGCATAGTAGATCTTACATCATGCCAAACAGGAAGAAGAGCAGTATTGGAAAAGGCCAGGGCAAGAACCAACCCCCGGAGCTTCATACATAGTGTGGGCTTAACACCAGCCAGGTCCAACTTCCATAGTCATAACCAAACTGAATGGTTCCTTAGGTCTGAGACCTCTCTATTTGTTTCTGGAAAGGCTCACAGACACTTCTAAAGCTGTGCCTTATTATCTCCTAGGCTGTTCTCAACTCAGTCAAACTGACTCTGATTAATGTCAAACAGAGGAGAGCCAATTGGGAGTGGAAGAAAACAAAATACATATTATGTGAACCGAGTGACTAACATCTATCTAATCTTTGTGAAAGACTGAATCCATGAAGTAGAACTTACTTCTTAGAAATGGAAACCTATCTAGGTGTAGCCAAGCTGTGAGTTTGAGGTCAGTGTGGTCTACAAAGTGAGTTCCAGCACAGCCATGGCCCTGCAGAGAAACGCCCTTCTCAGTATGCACCCCCCCAGATAAATAACTGAACTGGCTAAGGTGTTCTGGATCAACAGTTAACGGTGTGCAGAGTTGTTGCTGCTCTTCCAGGTGATCACAGCACTTACTTCAGGTTCCTATTGTGTGTAACTTAAGCTCTGCGGAATGGGGAAGGGGGCTCTTAGACTCTGTAGGCTTCTGTGGGCACCCACACAAAACATGCACCTTAACTAAAACATTAACAAAAGCAAAGGCAAATCTTGTAGGAGCATTTTACTTGAGTGGCCCAAAAATATTCCTTTTGCTAACAAGAACGGTACACTAATTCTTTGGGAAGAAGTAGAAATAACCAGCTATTTCAGCCACACTAACATTTATCAAGGACTGTGAAAAATAGGGACAAATAGTGCCAGAGTATGAATGCTAAGATCCAGTAATGGCGTTTTTAATTGTTAGATAACATAGTGCTGGCCTCAGAGTTCTTGGGTGGAGGTCAGAGGACATTGAAGGAGTTAGTTCCCTTGTGGGTCCTGGAGATTGAACTCAGGGCTTCAGGTCTGGTAATAAGCACCTTAGCCTTCTGAGCCGTCTTCCTAGCCTACAACATCAAAGTTCTTTTTAAAAAAAAAACCTGCTTTTAGTGACATTTATTTGATGCTGATGACTTCCTTTATGTATCCAATATGTTAAAAAATAATAATAATAATTGAAGTAGTTGGCCTTAGTGTTGCATCTTCATGATGAGGTCTGTGCTAGTCCTGCCACAGTTAGACCTAGAGTCTGCAGCACCCTCTGCTGGCAGCAGCCCCTTCTTGAAGCTAGGTTGGGTCCAAATAGGCAAGAGGGTCTGTGCTGTGCCATCTGTAGACATCCCCCTGGGTTCTTGCCAGCACCCATCTCCTAAGGGCCTGTTTTTTTCTCCTGGAAGCTTCACCAGGCACTCACTGAGGCAGTGGTTATAACTCTCGAATTCTCACTGTGCCCTGAGTCCTGAGCCGTCTTGGGGGTGGGGTGCTGAGTAAGCGTGTGTGGAGTGATTGGAAGTTGTGCACAGGTCTGGAAAAACAGCAGTCAGATCTCATCAGCCTCCCTATGGAAATGGCTTCCTCATAGGGAATCTGGAGGCTGACCAGGAAAACTCACACATGCAGGAGATGTGTTAAGAGGATGACACTAACTATAGTACCCTGCAAAAAGAGCCAGTCTTCCTGAAGGATACCCTCCCCTTCTTTGAGAGCACCTTTGCCCATGAAACAGGTTGTAATGGTGGCAGTGTTGGGACAGGACAAGGCTCTACAGTGCAGCTTTGCTAAAGGAACCTGGGGACTCTGCGGTCCTGTTTTTAACCTCTTCATTCTCTGTTTGCCACATCCTAACTTTGTGTTTGCTTTTGTTTCCTTTTTTTTTTTATTTAAAGATTTTTTTGTTTTGTTTTGTGTTTTTAATAGATGAGGGTTACTACCAGGGTGGAAAATTTCAGTTTGAAACTGAAGTTCCTGAAGCCTACAACATGGTGGTGAGTAGCCTGTGCCTAAACCTCACTCCACACCTACACACCAGGGACAAGGCATGAAGACATGGGGGCACTGCCTTGGGAGCTGTGCTTTCAACGCTAACTCACTGTGTTTTTCTTGTGGCATTAGCAGCAGTATGAGACCTTCAGCACAGAAACTCACTTGTCCAACAGCTATTCATTGTGCAGGTGTTCTTGTGTATTTCATGTAAATTTTTTAAATGGGTTTTTTTTAGATTGATTTTATTTAATGGTATGATACCAAAGCTCCAGGGGCCAATAATACTAGAATTTCAGGTAATTAGTAACCTATTGCTACATATTAGTTCCTCAAAGATGATATTACAAGACAGTGGTGACATACACCTTTAATCCCAGCACTCAGGAGGCAGAAGCAGGCAGACCTCTGAGTTAGAGGCCAGCCTGGCCTACAGAGTGAGTTCCAGAACAGGCAGGACTGTACAGAGAAACCTCGTCTCGAAAAACAAAACAACAACAAAAAGATCATATTCCATACTAACTATACCCAAGACTGACAAAGGACTTTGACGTTTGAGGATAGATCATTAGGGAGTAAGGTGATATATAGGCAGTTTAAGTGATAAAAAAATGGTAAATAGCTAGACAGATGGGTAAATGGCGGAAAACGGATTTATAGGGATTTCAAAAAGGAAGTGAGAGCACCATCTTTGGAGCATGGGGTGGGGTCGTGGCCACATTATTTGGTTTTGAGCCAGGGATTAGGTGGCATGGGCCAATCAGAGCTGTAGTTGAAGGTGTGAAATGAGAGCACATATTGGTAAGTCCAGCTCTGAGGGATCCTACACCACACTTGCATGCAATGTGCACATATATTCATGGACACATACACATGCAAATAAATAAAGAATAAAGTAGACTAACCCTGGTCTAGGAACTGTCGCACTAGAGTCTGCAGACACATCTGACTAAAAAGGTGATTTGTTCTGTGAAGCAGTAATGGTCAGGTGTGCGTCTGTGACTTAGCATAGCAATTTGGGTTCTTGGTTGGAGTTTGGGACCGAAGAATGTGGGGGGGGGGGGTGCACGCGCACACGTGCTTACATTGCAGGTGTAGATTGGGAGATTTGTGACCTTTCTCTATGTTGCAGCCTCCCAGGGTGAAATGCTTGACTAAAATCTGGCATCCCAATATCACAGAAACAGGGGAAATATGTCTAAGGTGAGTTTCTTCCTCCCTTCTGCACATCTGTGAGCCTCTTCAGATTCACTCCTGCAAGGGGGTCTCTTGGCTACAATTCAGACATGCCTGGGCCACACCTTACTATTGCTATAATGGGGGCCCTCATTATGCAGTGTCCATCTCCTTGAGAGAGCAACCACAGTCCCGGTTTATGGCTGATGTACGCTAACAAGGAGAGGATGGTGGTGGGGTAAGAATAAAACTGCAGGAGCCTGGCGTCAGTGATCTCAGGCAGGCACTACTGAAGTCGCTTTCCATAATGGATCTCGTCAGCTGTAGACTGTGTCCCAACTGTCCCTGGAAGGTTACTGCTCTCTGAGAAAAAGAGCTGGAGAAGATAAAGGGGGGCTTATTTTCATAGTAGGCAGCATTTGAGTTTTTGTTTTTGTTTTTTTGACCTGTTTGGACCATTAGTCTAGTAGTTCAGGGTATTAATGGTGGCTGTCTAGTCTAGACCAACTGCAGGTGATGCGGAACCTCTCTGACAGTAGGACTGGGGTAGCCTCATGTTTGGCCACCCTGGGAAGCAGGCTTCTCATGTTAGTTATAAAGTGTTAGAACCTGAGGCTGCTCTTAGTGTACCTCTGTTTCTCTATTCTCGTCCCTAAGCATTAGCATTAGGTAAGAAAGATGAACTGTACCTGGGTGCCTCTTGTTTGGTCTTTTATTTTTTTTTGTCTGGGAAATGCAGTCATTGTCATCAAACCCATAGAGAAGCTTTAAAAATACTGTCAGGTAGGATACACATGCCTTTTGGATCTCTGAGTTCCAGATCAACTAGGGTTTCATATTCATTAGTGAGACTTTGTCTCAAAACAAAAAATAATAAACCTTAAACACAAAATTGAAAGAGGATCCCTGAACTACTTATCCTTGTGTGTAATCATTTTGAAAGCACGGACACTGGGCAAAGGGTCTCAGACTACAGAAGGATACCATTCATGCCTGTAATCCAAGCACTCAGCCTGTGAGGTGCTTAGCTGCACTGATCACCAAGAAACATGCATGAGCCCCATGAGGTTGTGGCTTGCTGCTCCCATAGTTGGGGGTGTGGGTGAGAAGAGAGACCAGCCTCTCCCACATTGGAGGGTGTGGATACTCACTTTGGGCACATGGTTCCTTCTTCATAGGTAAAATGGTTTCCTGTTGGGGGATTTTTGTTTCGGATTATGCCTGACAGATAAATTGTAGATTCTTATCATTTTTATTGCTGTCACTGTTCCTGGCTATTAAAAAACTTTTTTTTTGTGTGTATGTTGTTTTAATAATGCTTTTCTGATGGGACATGCCTGTAATCCAAGCACTCAGATGGCAGAGACTGGAGAATTGACACAAGCCTGAGTTAACCTCAAGTATGTGGCAAGTTTTAGGCAAGCGAGGACAACATCTGACATCCTGTCTCAAAAACAAACAAAAAAACCCATTTCCTTTCCTTTGCTTAGACTTCCATGTGAAGGACTAATAACAGTCCACAGAGTCACTAGACAGAGTAACAGGAGACATTGTAACTGAAATACAGGTTTGTAGGTGAAGACTGTCCTCTATAGGACAGAAGACTACACAGTCAAGAAGAGACAGGCTTCATAGTGCAGTTCATTCCTTTATGGTGAATAGCTGCGGCTCCTCATTAACATGCATTTCTGTCTTTCAGTTTACTAAGAGAACACTCAATTGATGGCACTGGCTGGGCTCCCACTAGGACATTGAAGGTGAGAGCATTCCTTCTGTAGTCCTCAGGCAGCTGGTCTCCTGTAAGATTTGCACCCTTGTTTCCTCTTCTCAGAACTACACACCTGGGTCTGCTCCACCAAGTAACCAGTTCTAATTGGATCAGAGTCCTTGTTGACCAATACTGTACCACTCAAGAGTCAAGCTGTAGGTTTCAGAACCACAAGAGAAAGTCTAGTGGTCTTGTTTATTCATTGGAGCTATTTTGAGCCTTTCTGGGTGTCTGGAAGAGCTGCAAAGTGTGTAGGTTACTTCCTGAGTCAGAAGGATTGTGAAGTGATGGGTAGATTATTACTGAATAGCCTCCACAGGGGAGAAAATTTGACCTTGATTCCATGTCAGAATATGTAGGCTTAATATAGCCCTGTTCCTCCTAAACTGTGGTCTGACGGTGAACCACCCAGCCATTTCCCATGTCCTGTCCTCAGGATTTAACTCAGATTGTCCCCTTACCTAGAAGGTAGTCTCCTCCGGCCGTCCACTCATGACATCTGCTTCTTTTGCAATTCTCTGGGATGGCTGCCATTTCCTCTAGTGTCTGTACTACTTGGGGCAGTAGCCTGCTGTCAGCTCAGATGTCTAGCCCCCTCTTTCAGGCTTAATGCATGGCTTCACCTCCAGTGACAGTCACTAGCTCACACCAGAAGGTCAAATTTGCCAAGACAGATAGGTGGGAGAGATCAGAACAGTAAATAAAACTAGCGCTAGCACGTAACAATGGGCTATCTCTGAGAATTAGCTTGAAAGAACAAGACTTTTGGGGCTGGAGAGATGGCTCAGAGGTTAAGAGCATTGCCTGCTCTTCCAAAGGTCCTGAGTTCCAATTCCCAGCAACCACATGGTAGCTCACAACCATCTGTAATGGAGTCTGGTGCCCTCTTCTGGCCTGCAGGCATACACACAGACAGAATATAAATAAATAAATAAATAAATAAATAAATAAATAAATAAATAAATAAATAAATAATAAACAAACAAACAAACAAACAGATAATTTTAAAAAAAAGAAACAAGACTTTGGTGTTGAAATATCAAGTAGAAGGAGTCTGTGGTTGCCGTGGCTCTCATCTGAAGATCAAATTTGTGAACACAGATAAACAGTGGTTTTTAGTGGGAATTAGTTTTCTTAGAAGGGAAAGTCTCTCTTAATTCTTGAAATAACTAGAGGCGATCAAGAAGATGTAGTGGAGTGATTTATCACTGAACCGTAAGAGGCAGTAATGTTACAAAGTAGCAGGCTTTGTTTTGAAGGTAAATGTTAGAATTCCATTCTGTAACTACAGGGGGTCGAGCATGGCCTGTGGTCCCTGCATCTTTCTGAGCATGAAAGGCAGTGGTCAGAGGTTAGACTTGAGTTCAGGGCTCCTGTGTTCTGTCTGGGAAAAGCACTGTCGTGCACGTTTGATAGCTTATGATGCATATTTCTTAGTGGATAGGAGCCTGAGAATTGTTCTCTTTTTTTTTTTCTTTTAGGATGTTGTTTGGGGATTAAACTCTTTATTTACTGTAAGTATGTTATTAGCCACCTCTCCCTTTTCTTGGTTTTCTGGATGCTGGTTTGAAACACAAGTTTAAAATATATGGAAGCTTCTAAGCTACCCATCCTTTCCATTTTATGACCAGATTTTACATTGTAATGCAGGAACTCAGGGGCCTTTAAGAGTGATATTTGGAGATTTTCTGCCTTCTGGAGCATATCTGCGCCTCTTCCTCCTTGTCATCTATGAAACAGCATGTTTGTCTTTAATCATCAACTAAAGGAACTTCCACTAACCTGTGAGGCCCTGCCCAATGTTGCGGAGTTTCTGGGAGCCAGTGTTTAAAGGCATTTCAGGTTCCCCTGTCTCCCTGTGAATACGCTATTTTGGGGTCAGGCCTGGATTCCAGCGCTCAGTTTTCCCTGTGTGCTCAATCATTGGAAGTCGGCCTTGGCGTCTTAGGTGACATAACAGTTTGTAATCTCATAGCCTTAGCCTAATTATTCTCTCCGGATGTTGAGTTTCACTGCCTTTTTGAAAGGATTTGTTTATCTTCATGTGTTTGGCCTGTATCTTTTCTGTGCAGTGCATGTGTGTCATGTGTCCACAGAGACAAAAAGAGGGTGTTGAATCCCATGGGGCTGTTACAGCTGGATAGCCACTGTGTGGGTGCTGGAAATCAAACCAGGTTTTCTGAAAGAGCAGCCGGTGCTTCTCTTCAGCCCCTCCCTCTGGGCTTCACTGTTGACCCTTCGTGTTTTCAGTTTGACTGTGAGCTAAGCAGGCCTTCTTCTGTCACTTTTGCTCAGCCCGGACAGAGCTGTTCTGGAGTCCATCTTGTCTGCCTAGTTGTGAGTGTGTGTGTGTGTGTGTGTGTGTGTGTGTGTTGGTTGTTTTGACTAGCAATTGTTTAGGGAATTAATGGGCAGAAGTACATTGAATTTGAGGCTTTTTATTTGTTTGTTTTTAATATGTTTTGGTCTTAGTTTATGAAATAACAGGTTTTATTATAGTCTTTGTTTTGGGATGAGGTCTCCCTCTGAAGGCCTTGACCCAACTATGTCATCCAGGCAAACCATGAACTCATGTCGATCCTCCTGCTTCAACTTCCTGTGTCCTGGAATTAGCATGTGCCACATGCCCCACTTGATAGATTCATAGTCATAGCTATGTTTTATCCTAGAGAGGAACGCTGTACTGCAGGTAATATTTCTGCAATAAGCCATTTTCAGTGCTCTTTGAAAAGCAGTGACTCAGTGGGCTGATTTTCAAGAGGATTGAGTGTTCTTTGAGAGGTGGAAAGAGTCTGTGCTCCCCTTAGTTTGTGGGTACCAGATATTGTTCCCATTGGATTTTTGAGTGATTACCTTTGAAAGAAAGTCAGAAAAATAAGAACATTAGTCAAGGTCAGAAGAGAAACTGTATACTCTGAGTGAGGAGATACCACAGACATTAAATTAGGAGAGAGAAAGAAACTAATGCTTTTTAAAGGAAATTGAGAAGGGTGTGGTGGTGTTAGTTCCAGCATTTGGGATACAGAGGCAGATGGATCTCCTGAGTTTGAGGCCAGCCTCATCTATATAGTGAATTGAGGCTAGCTAGTGCTACAGAGATACTCTCTCCAAAAGAAAATAAAGAAATGAAGAGCCAATGTCATGGCTTAGCAGATGGAGGCGCTAGTCCAATGACCCGAGTTAAATCCCACAGTTGTCCTCTAAATACTTGTGCGTGCAGCATACACTGTCACATACATGATACTAGTAAGAATGTGAGCAGTGAAGCTGGAGAGGTAGCTGAAACAGTAACGTGCTTGCCATATAAGCATGACGGTCTGAGTTCAGTTCACAGAGCTGATGTGAAAAACCTGGGCATAGTGCTGGAGATATGGAGATGGGATCGCTGGAGGTTGCTGGCCAGCCAGCTTAGCCTAATTAGTGAGTTCCAGGAACCAGTAAGAAACCCTATCTGAGAAAAAACAAGGCTCCCTAAGGAGTGACATTGACCCCTGGCCTCTAGATATACCTATTACCCACCTGTACCCCTACACCCAGGAACCATCACACAATGACATTCTATTGAAGAACCCCATTGTTAAGAATGGTTATTCAAGGCCAGAGAGATGATTAAAATACTGGCTGATCTTCCGGAAGACCCAGCTCACAGCTTCCTATAACTAGTTCCAGGGGATCCGGTGTCTTCTTCTGGCTTCCATAAGTATGTGCACTCACATGCGCACACACACAAACACACACACAGGAAAACGCTCAGAATGTTTGTTCATCAGCGGTTATCAGAAAGCATCAGATTAATGTGATTGCTGTCTTCTCCAGTTCCTCAGAATGGCATAGTCTGTGTAAACATACTCTTGACATTTTCTCAGCTGCCATTCACCATTTTGAAAATCACCCGCGCTTGACACTGTGCTGTGAGGGATTTTGAGTGCTTGGGGTGGGGCGCTGTCTAGGTTGCTGTCCCATTCACTGCCTGACAGTGGGAAAGCATTTTCTTCCCCACACTCATTGTGAGTTGCTCTCTTTTTAAGGATCTCTTGAATTTTGATGATCCACTGAATATTGAAGCAGCAGAACATCATTTACGAGACAAGGTGAGCTGGCAAATGGGCTGCTTCTAGGTAGAGGCATAGGTAAAAGGAGCCTCTGCATTGGGTAAGTGAGAACTTAAGTGGTGGGTGTGGGGCAGCCATTTAAAGCATCTGTGTCTCAGTCAATGTGTGGTTTGCTCATAGCGAAAGTGGCTTTTATTACAGGTAAAATCATAATAAAATTTTGGTATGAGGAATATAGCAGGCACATTACCTCATTAGCAGTATGGTAGAGCTGGGGTATAACTCTGTGGTAGAGCACTCACTGTTGCAAGACAACAGCAAAACCATACCATGGTGGTTGAGGGACATGGAAGGAAGGATGGGTCACATCAGGCCACCTGCCTCTTTCCACACCCTTTGCTGAGATCTTGTGTGTTTGCTATTACCCATAATAATGGACTCTAGTCCGTTCCACTTAATCTTCAGTTTTTTTCTTTTTGATCAGATCAAAAGCTCCTTCCTGGGCTGTTTTTTCCCCACAGGTGTTTCCCCGCTGTAAACTGCACGTCAGTAAACACAGCCACATCCTTAAATACACTGCATTTGGTTTAGTCCTGCAGCCCGATCGCTGGTTCCTTGATTTGAATAGTGGGCTGGCTTTTAGGCTCATCAGGGCACAAGTCCATGCCTGATAGGTTGATGCACTTCACTGCACGCTGCTGGGAAGGCCACTTTTGCCCTCTGCTTTTAAATTTCTTTGTAGATCAGGTGTGACAGTGTGATTACTTAGTTCCTCTGAATAGTTTGCTTTTATTTTTGAGCCACTTCATAGAAGATGGTTTGTATTTTGATTTTTTTTTTCTGATGTGTCTGCTGAGGGCCTGACTTTGGCTAGTCATTTGCACATCAGGGACAGAGCTTTATTCTGTACATCAAACACTTTCTGTTTTGCCTACTTCAGATGGGTATGAAGTGCTTGTGATTTAAAAAAAACTATGAATCTGTTACCCAAGCCCCCTGAGAAGCCAGCGTGAGTGTACCAAGCTGATAGAGTTGCCTTCACTGCACTGTGGGGCCTATGTGTGGGGCCATGGCAGCAGTGCTAGGGAAAGGGATTCCTACTGAGGACCAGCAGCAGTCCTGTGTAACCTGAGTAGGGATGTAGAGAAGTGTCTAGTGTGATCTGGTTGAAGTGGCTCAAGTTGTTTGGCTTCCGTAAGCAGCAAAGAGGCTCGCCTGTTTAATTGTTTGAGATAGGGTCTCACTCCTTAGCCCTGGCTGGCCTAGAGCTCTCTATGTAAACCACTGCCTCTTGAGTCCTGGAACTAAAGGCGTGCGCCACCACACATGATTGAGATTTGTTTGTAAATTCATTTTGCAGTGCTAGGGGTTGAACCTGGGGCCTTGTGCATTCTAGCCAAATATTTCTAAACCTCCATCTCCTTTTCTCAGAAATGAGGTCTTGCCAGGGTAGCCCTAAAACCTGTTCTTGGGATACACTTCCAGACTTGCTGAGACTAGGCAGATAAGCATTTGCTGCCACACCTGGCTAGGAACACTCTGATCCTTTAGTGACCCGTGTGGCTATTGACCATGTGTCCTGTATTACCTCCTCCAACTGGGTATACCTACTTAAATTAGTCATGGGGCTACACTCTTGGGCTCCAGCATCCATGGTCTTCATTTAAAGTCCTGTGCTCTTAAAAATGAAAGAGGAAGTTAGAGGCAACAGGAACTGCAGTAGGAAGCCTCCTGTGGACCTGGCACTGGGTTTGCCCTGAAATGAACAGAACTAGAGGAGTCAAGGTGGAAGAGAAGTCTTTTGTCCTGAGTTACATTCTAAGGTAGTTTCTGGTAAGCTCCAGCATTGCTCAGCTCTCGAAACTAGAAGTGATCTCGAAGGCATTTTGAAGTTTCTACACAACCTTCCGCAAACTCCTGTATCTCAAGTGAATGGCCAGGGTGGCATGCAACCGTGTGCACAGATGTGGAGAGGTAGCAGCAGAGTCACACAGTCAGGTCGCCACTTAGACTGGAAGCAAGTCTCTGACCTCCTCATAGTGTTCAAACTGAGAAAAGTTTTTGAAACTTTTGGCCTTAAGAATAAGCAGGAGCTGGCTAGGGTGGGGCCCTATTGCAGAGAAGCTGTTATAGGTAGGCACACTTTTAAGAGAGCACAGCAGCCTCTCAGGATGTACCAAGTCTTTGCCTTTATCCTGCTCATTTCCGTGAAGAACAAGCAGGGGAACCCTCCATGCTTCAGGCCTTAGAAAACAAAGCTTATAGCTGTGCAGTGGGGACAGTAGTGACCTATAGCTGAGTTGTTAGAGGAAGCTGTTTGAGAGCTTCAGCCCCATGGGAATTGACTGCTAACCTTGAAGAGAACAGACTAGGGAAAACCTAGGGCACTGGCCCAGATCTCAGAAGGCTTTCCCACTCAGACTGTCCTGGGTGAGTCCTAGAGACTCTGCTGTGTTTTAGCATCTCAGGGGCCCCAGTGTGCATTGTCTTTGATGTGAGAGGATGTAAGCTCTGTGGCCCATTGCCTTTCTCCGGGTATGGTGGGTGCAGGTAGGGTGGGGCCGTGAAGGTAAGCACATTTTGGTGGACAGCAAGGCTTTGGGAAGGTGGATCTAAAAAAGCAAAGGTCTGTCCAAGAATGTGGGACCCCTCCTCCACGGTCCATTGGCCACTGGGCCATGGGGGCAAAGGGAGCAGAAGTGGCAAGCATAGCCTTGTCTAGCTTGTGAGTACAACAGAAAGCCCTTCAGGAGATTAAACTTCAGTGAATCAGCTCAGCTTTATTCCAAAGTATAGGGGATATATAGAATTGGAGTGGTAGCTGGGGAATTGCTTAATTTACGTTAACCAGTACACTCCTGTCGTAAAGCTCCGTATACAGATCTTTGGAAGCATGGTCCTAGTGTGGTGCTCCTAGCACAATGTCTGATTGCCTTAGCAGCAGTAGGGGAAGCTTCAGGGAACTGTGTCCAGGGTCATACTAGGGTCGGGCATCTGGGCCTAGTAGCATTCTCCAGATGAGGTCAGATAGAGAACAGGGCTCCTTCTGCCAGGGGAAGGAAGTTGTCCATGTTTCTGAGCTTACTCAGAGTTGCCAGGCCAGGGTAGACTTCAGCTTCCGACCATCAGGGCCTCCCAGCAAAAGAGCAGCCATGTAGAAGAGTGTTGGCATTGGGACCATGAACATGCTTTTTCAGACTTGATGTTCCTGCTGGCACGAGTGAGGGTGTGGGATGAGATGCCCTCAGGTTCTCCACTGCTCTGGCTTGTGCTGTGCCCCTCCCCACCAAACACTGCACTGTCCCCTGCGCAGTTCGTACTAGGGTTGTGGAGAGATGGCACCATTGGTGATGTGAAGCCAGGCTTCTCCGTAGACTCCTTCACTTTGAAGAGACTGGCTGTGTTCCTGAAGTGTCACTTTGCTCTCTTACTCTTGTCTGCTTTATCCTCTCCCTCTGCAGGAAGATTTCCGGGACAAAGTGGATGAATACATCAAACGCTATGCCAGATGATAAGAGGGGAGATTGCAGTGCTGAGGACTTTGTCACAGTTGTCTCTGATGTGAACAGCTAGAGGTAGCCCTCCTCCCCATCCTCATACTCCCTGTCAGCCCCTTGGGCTTGTCCCAGTCTTGCGACCTTGTCCTGAAGAAGACCATCCTCCTGACTACACAATACAGCAAGAAAGTGTCTGGGCTTCGAGAGCGTTGTCTGCTTCCCTTAACATGTTTCCTGAAACTCTGTCTAGGCTGTGGGATTCCTCTGAAGTTGTAATGAACTCACCATTGAGGATAGCACTTGCTTCCCTTACCCCCAACAAAATCGGTGTCCTGCACCAGTGATGTAATGACATGTTTGGTGTGACTGGCAGATTTGCAATAAGAAACCCGCTATAAACTGTGATTGGATGCACATTCTCTTAGCTTCTTCCACGAATGTTGGCCCTGCCTAGATGTGAACTTCCTGGAATGCATAGTCATTCACTGTAGATCTTACTGAAATGCGTATTTTATTTAATGTAAGTATATTTTGGAACAGATTTGTAATTTGTACAATTTGATGCTTTAATTATTTTTTTCTATTCTCAATTAGTTTGTATTTTCATTGTATAGAGCAGACACAAAGATACTGGGTCAAGCAACTCTTGAAGAGAAATACAAAGGGACCGTGAAAGGCACATTACTCAGTTTCTCCAGATGTAGCAGGAATCCGGCTGCTGGGTATCAGCTCTTCCTTCAGGTCCGCACGTGGCAAGGATGTTTTGGAGACTTGGTACCTAGAGCTCGATGATCCAAACCAAAGGCCGGGAGTCTTCCCTCGTACGGTACCCAGACACAGCAGGCTGAGCTCCCTAAGGAGGGTGGTGGCTGACTCTGCAGTTGTCATAGCATGAGCCAGGGCTTCCCTAGCAGAGCTCTGTCTTTGCTTTCCAGCAAGAGGAAGTATCTGGGGAATGAGCTCAGTCTCTGGTGCTGCCAGGACTGCACTGTGGCTGCCTTCTGACTTGCCAGTGGTTCCAAGCCCTCCTAGGGGAGTCTCACGGGCCTTGGCAGGCTTAGCAGCAGCAGTTACCATACTCCCTCAGGGTAGAGCCCTTGAGGGTCGGACCTGTCGAGAGAGGCTAGTAGACTTATTCTAGTTTTTTTTTTAGACACTTAAACCAGTGAAATCTAATGCAAAATAAATGCATGTCTGGTTTTATTCACTGCCTGCCTAGCATTCGCACTCAACTGCCAGTCTTCCTGCTTGTCATCCTCTGGGTTTGGTGACCTTTGCAAGGTCAGTCTTGCTTCCCCCTTGGTATCAGAAATTGGGTCAGTTAGCCACAAGGGGTGACCTCATCTGACAGGCCACAAACTTAGATGAACAGAGCAGGAAGGATGGGGCCCAACAGAGTCAATGGTGGTACCCCAGTGATCCAGGACTTGCTCGGGTGCCCCAGCATTCTCCTCTCAGAGCCTGGGGGAGTGCTGAGACAACCCTCTGCCAGTGTTGGTGTCACTGGGTACTCAGCAGCCAGACACTAATGCCACCATACACTCGTCAGCACTCTCGGTGCCCAGCGATCCTGGTGCCTGATTGGCAGTGCTAGCGTCAGTGAAGAGATGACACTAGTCCCTGTCAGTCAGATCGAGACCAGCCTGCCTCAGGCTGCGTGAGACTGGTGCTCCTCAGGGCATTAACAGTAGCATTTTATTAGAGGTCAGATAATGTGTGACTTGACATTCCCAGATAGCCAATACCCTCTCCTTCTGTTAAGTGGAAATCCCTTAGAAATAGTTCTAGAGCCTTCACCTCACTCCTCCCAGTGAGCAGTAGCTTATGCCTGACCTCCCCACCCAGGCCAAAGCAGCATTCTAACAGTCCTTGGGACCCCAACAAACTGGAATTTTAGTTCTGCTAAGGAAGTGTGATCCCCAAGCTTGTGAAGAGGCCAGGTCTCAATGGAAAACTGGTAGGAGTGGTCTGGCCTGGGGAAGGAAGGAAAGCTCTTGGGCAGCTTGAACACACTATCAACCTCTGCCTCCTGGGTCATGGCTCTGCTCGGGAGACTGCTGCTCAGACTTTAGTGTAAGTCGTGTGTTCTCAAGAGCTCAGAGAATGAAGCACCCTCAGAAGGAGGGTCGCATCTCTGATTATTCCTTAAACACCCCACCCCAGCGGGTCACTTCCTTTTAAGTAAGGAGCTGAGGCAGAGTCCAGGTCTTGCCTGTACCCCGCTGTGCCTCTTTTCCTCCCAGTCTCCTGCTCTTGCTCATTTGTTTGCTTTCTGTTAGTTTTGTGTGGCCCAAGCCTTTACCCCAGTCTCCTCCATTCTAGGATGATGTGCACAACACCCAACTCATCTTGGTGTTTTTACCCACTGTTCAGGGAGTATGGGAGCGGGGTCTTCCGATGTGGGTGACCTCCCTTTTTGTTATGTTCAAGTACTGAGAACCTTACAGCCACCCTGTATTCCTACTCAACAGGCAGCAAGGTATGCATTTGAAAAGCAGTCAGTGCTGTAGAGCAGCTCTGTGGACTGACTGCCTTCCAGCCTACTCCACTCACTTCTGTGAGTGTCACTTCTGTGAGTGCACTGCGATGAAAGCTCTTGGAGCAACCTAAAGCCACCCCGGATTTCCTCCCCCTCCCCCTGGCAACTCTGACGGGTTGTGATTTGCTCAACCTTTAGTTGAATCGCTTTATTCTTTACTAAACCTAAAATCTCCAAGATTCCTGTGGACAGAACAGTCTGGGTTTTGTTTGTTTGTTTGTTTGTGTTTATTTATTTATTTTAAGTATTATGATTGTTGTGTCCGCATGGACTCCTGCTTGCCAGAAGAAGGAATCAGATCCCATTATAAACAGTTGTGAACCACTGTTCTGGGAAGAGCAGCCATCAGTGCTCTTAACCACTGAGGCATCCGTCCTGACATCAGGGTTTTTGCTGACAACCCAGCATAATTTTTTATTGTAAAAAAACCACTAATGGGCTGACATTACAGTTCAGTGGCAAAGGTGCTGTGCACAAGCCTGGTGACCTGAGTTTGATCCCCGGAACCCGTGTAAAAATGGAAAAAGAACGACTCGAGTTTTCCTCTGAGCTCCACATGTGTTATGGCACATGCTCACACTCCTCAATAACAACCTAAGGTGAAACAATAGAAGGCTATCAGCCAGCAACCATGGTCTGTAGTAGGCACTTCTTCATTGTCTGTCCTAGAGGTGATTTTCACCTTCACCTACTAAGAAAGACCCCATCTAAGAAAGATCCCAGATTGCTACAGTTCCAATGTTCTCAACGTGCTTAATAAAATCCTAGAGTATGGTTACATGGCTAGGAATACTTTTGCCAAAGAATTTGAAAGATAAAGCCTGTGACCCCCTCTTCCCTCCCATGACCTGTATCATACACTAGACAGCACATGGGCTGATGCTGAGGCCACACTGCCTGTCTGTGGAGGCCTTGTCGAGAATGTTTGTACATGTTGAGTGGCATAAAGACTTCTCTCAAATCTCAGCTTTGGACTCCTTTGCTCTCATTTTCAAATTTCCTGAGCCAGGGTTTTCCCAAAAATTTTCCTAGGCTTCCAGCAGAACTGTTGTGAACAGAGTTTCTTGCGCAGCCTTTGACAGGATCACCTGCCAGGCAGGCACCCACACAGAAAAGAGAGGAGCTAAGACGGCTCAGGTTAAGGATGTTCCTGCTGCCCCATTAAGCAGTGGGCTCTGGCAGGTCTAGATGTGTCTGTGTTGCGTTTCTCCACACTGCATCTTTAGTGGCCTCTTCTCGTTTTTGTTGAGCTTTCTAGCCACTCCTCACAGATGGAGGAGTGGCTAGCCATTTGTGTTAGCAGACATTTCTCTTTAGAGAAGAAAAGCCTGGTTCTAATAAACCCATGTCCTTCCTTCCTTCACTATGGGAACTGAGGGTCCATGTTGGGCAGAGCTGTGGTGAACATGAACAAGCCTTTTCCCATTCCAAAAGCTTTCCCTCATACTAGTGTCTAAAAAGATAGGGCCATGTCCTGGGAGGACTGGTAAGGAGTTCTCGATGAACTTGGGACATAGGCCAAGGTCCAGTGATTCCATGGATCCTGTTGCCCTCAATATGGGTGTCAGACTGGTAATGGTGGTGTATTGGTAGATAGCCATGCCGTGGCAAAACCCTGGGTACAGAAGCAGTCTTCCCACCTTGTTCTCACCGTAGAAAGGGTTGTAAGACATCTTTGGCCGCCTCACAGCTTCCCAAGTCCTTCAAAATAAGTCAGTCCCCCTATACCCGGCATGCAGAGCTCACTATGCCACCCTTACAGGAAATAGCCATTTAGGGCCCTGGCCTCAAAATCGTACCTTCATGTCCTGAGATGACACTAGTCAGTCAAGTCTCAGCTTTCCTCTCTTGGGGTCTGTCCAGATTCAGTTCACATGTTAAGTGCTCTGACGTCTTCCATGAAGATAGGCACTTGTGAGGACCCCTCCCTTTCTCTGTCATCAGGAAACACAAGGTAGGAATGCCACTTGACTGTATATGATTGTCCCTCTGGGAGCTACTGAGCACCTGGAGCCTCATCTTGGCCATTTGCAGTAACCTGGCGGGTTATAGTGTGACTCTTCTCTGTTGAGCAAAGTGAAGAATATGGAGTGTGTACCAGAGGCAGTCGCCCCAGGAGTTGTCCAGAAGCTGGGTCGTCTGGCCAACCAGGCAATGACTGGCAGGTTATGCCACCAGCCAGGGAGCTGTCTGGTCTGTACAGTTTGCTTTGCCTGAGTGAGGAGCCTAGGAAGAGAACAATAAAATCTTAGCCAGACGCTCAGACTTGGCTATCTGTATGAATAGAAGTGAAGTGTAGGACTGAAAACATTCAGACCTCCCAACCCCCAGTAAATAACATGTTAACTCAGACTAAAAATGTAGGAAAAACTAGGCTAAAGTGAAAGGCGGTGGAGGAAGCAAGCCCGAATGACAACCCATATGGTAAAGGTAGGATCAGTGACATGGAGACAGTGAGACCCTGGAACATGCAGCAGACAACACAGGCCCTCAGGATGAGGGTTGCAGAGAAGGCTGGAGAAGATTGGATGGACTTATTGACCAAGCTGAGTGTATACCTGGCCATGACACAATTTGCCAGACAAGTGTGACAGTGCCCTTAAGTGAGACCCAGCAGGTTCAGACTCATGGCAGCCATAGCTTCTCTGCTTGCAAGGGAACTGAATCTTCGGTTCTAGAACTCAGAATAGAGCCTACCCAGAGGGTCATTTGACCTTAACAATTCCTGCCACACCTGTCCCTGAGATCACTGAATCTGGCAAAGAACCAGCCAGGAAGAGCAGAGAATGCGCCACTGGGGTTCACACAGGCCCAGGAAAAGGCCGTGTTTCCATGAACTGGTGGAGGAGAGAAACCTGGCCATGCAGCATACTGGGCAGAGGTTGGGGCAGATACTTGGTCAGCAATGGGGAAATGAATCTAAAGGCTATGTTGGTCCTGCCCAAAAATAAATGTCAAGGTGACTGAGCGGTTGAAGGCACATGCCAGGCCTGGTGACCCCTCGGGACTCAGTATGGGAGGAGGGAATCATTTGTTAAGTGCGCCAGGTGG